TTCAAAGCAGCACAAGAAGGTCCTGACATTCTGTTCTGCCCCTCATGCAGAGGTGGGTGTGACTGAGAAGGGAGGCAAGCTCTGCTCCTCCTCACCATCACAAACAGCCCATAGCTAAAGGCATATGCACGTTGGTTGCTGAAAGCCAAGTTTGTTGGGTGGCTTGTCTAATTGTGTAAGTGAGACGAGTAAATTTGTTTAATACAGCTAACCGGTCACGTAAACAAGAAACCATTTGCCTTCTCTATGTACAGATGAATTTATATTCATTAGAAGTACTGGCACAGAATAAAACAATGTTCTATGGGCAGGAAATGCAGTATTTTCTTTTCTCCTGGTTTGCTGAAGCATAAAGATACAGATTTAGAGTGTGTCAACAGCTTACCACTGCTTAGGAAGATGTAACTTTATTAAACATCCTGGACATTTTTTCAGAGAACACGTTTCATACTATAGCAGGCCAAAAAGTTGACTTAAGTACCCCAACATTGCCATAGCAAGCTTCTACTGATTTCAGTTTTCTACTGAAATCAAATCCAGATAACACTCCATAAAGAAACTATTTTTAATTTATTTTATAGCACTAAATATGTGAGGCTCTAATCTCTTTAGAGCTAAACAGAAGTGGAAATAGGGGCTCAACTGGAAAAAATTGAAAGAAAATTACATCATTCAATTCAATAACACCTGAATGGAATATTGTATTATATGCCCCTATTCTTTTACGGAAATATTTTAAAATGTATAATTGAAGGGTAGGATTTTGGTTAGAACCCAAGGGAGTTAGGCTATGGCTGTAATCCCATTTAACAATTAGAACACCTTCCCGAATTTGTGTCCTTCCCCTGCTTCAGCAGAAATGATAAACACAAGCAGACACTGCTGTACTGAATCTTACAGGCATGTAGAAGGTAAAACTGTCCCATTTAACCCAAAGAAATTCCTTTCTGCCTCTCCACACAACCTACTTTTTGTGAGTTTTTTCTCCTTACTCCTGAGGCTCCCCCATCCCAAATTATATCTCCCAGATCCCTCTGGCTAAATCCCCCCCTGAGCAGCAGCCTTCATTCCATTCTTTATCATGGAGATTTTTTTAATCCATCAGTTACCTGCACTCTGGAAAACTGTGAGGAGGCTAAAGCCCGAGGGTGAATTGAGGTAAAATGATGTATATACCAAGTGCTGGACTGGAAATCGTTTTTGCCAGACCTAGCAGTTTCAAAGAATTGTTTCAGTAACTTTGAATAGTTTTGTCCATCTTTTACTATTAAAGTAAGATCTATTGACCTAGGAAATAGACAGAAATCTGCCCAGAGCAACTCATCCTACCTCCAATGTCAAGCTAAAAATGATAAAGTGACAAGAAGTAGAAATACTGTCTGCACTTATTGTAGTATGCGTTTGTTCCTGCTTTTGAAATGATTGCCCAGTAAAACTGCAAAAAAGTCAATGCTCAGGAAAAAAAGGTCTGTTAAACTTTTGCTGGCAAGCCTTATACCCTTGATTCATTGCCTGTTTCACTAATTTGTAGTTCTCATAACTCTGTGGATGAGAATGGAATTAAACAAGAATGATTCTGAAACAATGTAATCATGATCACAGACTATAATCAATCTTTTTAGTCCTAGAAAGCTGCTACAGGACTGGCTGTCTGGCTGGCTCCTGATGTTTTCTATGAGAAGGCAAAACCAGAGAACTGAAAAGTAGAGTTGAAGGTTTAAGGCAATCTCTAACAAATGCAGGACAGGTGTGGGTGAATCTTCTTCAGCTGGGTGCCTAATACCTGTCAGTGCCACACAGAGGGGTTTCCATGGCATACACTCAGAGTGGCCACGTGAAACTGCAGCACCCTTCAAGGTTATTATTCTGTTCTTTTTACAAGAAGATTAGCTGCCCCAATAAGCATGAAGGGACTTATTGATGCTGGGTCCCCAAATATTAAATATTCCACAAACTTCAGAAATCAGTGGGGTTTTTTGCCAAGGAGTTGCCTGGCATCAATTTTAGTACTGAAAAACTTGGAACAGTTACTTGCCATCCATCTGCATAACTGTAAAGCAACACCAAATTAAATTTGTTCCAGGACCTGTTATTTGTGGAGGAAGAGTTGCATTTTATTTGCAATAATTTCTTTACTAGATAGAATCTTAAAATGTACATACGTAAATGTATTTACTCCTCCCAAAATGCAAATAATGGCCAGTTTTTAAGGAAGGAAGAGCATCCTCTGTTTACCTGTTCAATAGCTAAAATCCCCCAAACCTCACCTTTCTACACTCTCTGAATCAATCTGGGACTGAAGCCAAAGTCACCTACTATATAAGAGCGACAAAGCACAGATGAACTGCAGTCCTGATCAAGTTTAGACCCAACATCCTTGTGCCAAACTCCACTCAAGATGGGGTTTGGCAGGGGGATATTGCTACCAGAATGGGCTTTCCTGTTAGCAGTTTGCTGTATCCATCAAATTGGTAAGAAATCTTCTTTTTTTATTGGGAAAAGAAAAAATACTCTGTTTAGACTAGTAATACATTTTAAAAAACTATACTAATTGATTCGTATAAGAGGTGGCTGATTTCTTTATATATTTTCATTTGAAATGTCTGTCTATTAACTGGACCAATTTAATATTGACTAAACTTCTATATACTACTATAACTACATATGGAAAGTAGCCTTGAAGATCAAATCCAAAAAAACTCTTATTCATGTCTTAAAATGTCAGCTTTTCAGTGTCCCATATGCCTTTAAAAAGCATTTTATTCCTGTTGCATTTTGTATTAGAATTCATTGTTATGGTTCTTGTGAAATCTAAGCCACCACATTTTCTACTTGCTAGATTAGACCACTGGTCAATCTTTTTCAATATTTTGTCATCTATCAGGGGCTAACACCAGATTTCTCAACATTTCTTGCTACTTCTTTTGCAAAAGAAACCAGGAGGGACTATTCGTATGGCAAGGAATTTCAGTAACTAATTGTGCAGTTATTAATTTATAATACCCTATGCAAAATATTTATATAAATTACAGATACTGGGTAGGAGCAGGACAGGGAGATTTATGTGAGACCACAATCCATTATTTTGGATGGGGTTTTTTACCCTGTCAGTATTATATGAATCAGGGCTGGTCTTGGCAACTTTTATTAATATGAGTAACCCTGTTAAGCTGATGGAACCAATCAAATTGGAGCTACTTGCAGGAGTACAAGCTTGATAAGTCAGTCCTGTTCATGTACAGTAATTTCTGACCGGTCAGCTGACATTTTAAAATCTGCAGATTGTCTAGGTAAATTTATCTTGCATATCATTTTCAAAACATTGAAAAGTGCAAATATAATTTAAGGCTGCTTTATAGTTTGTGAAATAAACCCTAAATCACTGGCCAGTTGGTCTATATTGTGCTTGAAAACACAGCAGTCTCATAGAGTATAAACTTCTGTTTGGAGTTATGCAATGTTGGTCAGAAGCGTTTGCAGCCATTCATGGAACAAGAAAGTTATTTCTCCTGTCCAGTGCTGATCTGATAAACTGCTTGACAAATGAGTGGTGATTAGACAGTGCCCAGCAAACACCTCTTTATTTGAAACACACCCAGTGGGAAATATTTTCCGATATCCGGACTGAAGAATAATGGTCCCATCCCATGCCATCTCCGCCAAGATCGTGTGACTGCCTTTATATTTCGTGTCAAATATTAACTTTTATAAACTGGTGACAACAATAGTTACCAGCTGGATATAGACTTTGCAGGATGCATCCAAATATTCTTAATAATTAGATTAGTTTCCTAATTATCAAATAGTAAATTTCTTACAACCGAGAGACACTTATTTTTATAACAGTAAACAACGTGGCATTGTGTAATTGGAATTGCTAAACAAACCACTGAAGGTAGAATTTCCTTGGGAATGATGTATTTGCTAAGTAAACAAAAGCTCCTGCTGTTTCCTTGAGAAAAATTAACAGAACAAAATACATATATAGATCTATTTTGCTCTGTTACAAAGGTTCCCACACTAGAATAAACAAACCTTCTGTGATTCTATGCCTGCTGAGATTCCTATGGATGTGTAATGTGAAAGCAAACTTCAGCCTATTATGTAGACTTAAAGAGGTATTTCTCTTACCTGATCTTTATCAATTTTTTTACCAATTTTATTTTCATCAAATATAACCAGTATAAATTATAATGATGTGAATACATTTACCTAATTTTATTATCTATGATATTCAAAGATGAGCAGGAAATGGAAAATGCTTAAACTCTGTACTTCTTTGCACATCACTAGCAGTCAAGCACAAAGTTAAATGAGAAAAGAATTAAAAGCTTAAAGTTGAAAGAAACTGCATACACTGAAGCAACTTCTAGCTATGGTGGGGTTGCCCAGAACCCTCTGCTCCAAAGCCAGTAATCTCTTGGGGTTCTTTGTGAACTCTTCTCACCTATTGTATAAGGAAAAAGGGGGCCTAACTTAGGGCAAACTCCATAGGCAGTTCTGCTTTGACTGAGAAATTCTCTAGACACCTAAAGTGCTCATTCTCATAATCCAGGTAAGGACTGAGATATTAGTCATTTCATCACTTAAATCCTGTGAGGATTTAGACTTGGCAGGTTAAAGGTACCTATTAGTCAATCTGTTACAAGCACAGTTATCACATCCTGACTGCATTCAGTCCTTCACAAAATAAAGTTGTAGCCCTTCAACTTTTACAGGAAATGCCTGATATATTTACTTATAAAATCCAAGACCTGAGAACGTCAAACCAGGAGGTCAGGGTCAGTCTTTTTCTAGGAATCAAAGCATTCCGAAGAATACTTGTCATCTCTCAAAAGTCTTTGATTCTGGTGTTGAAGCAAGAACCCTTGGTCAAATAGCTTTATAGCATGATGCTTAAGGTTTTCTGCAGAGAAGATGTGATTTTGAACAATCTTTGAGGAGATGGGTAGAGCAGGAAACCTGGTTCATCAGGTTACTTCTGGGTTACTGCTCAGGCTATGGCCCTTGTACTGTCCCTCAGAGGTACCTCCTTGAGCCCAGTTGTAAATCTAGATCCGTGATGGAGGCTTCCCATCTGCTCCCTGAGAAAAGGCCCTATGCTTGGACACTAGAGAAACTGTCATAAATATCTGCAGCCATTATTGCATGAAGCTTGAAGCCCCTTGATTCTTTTAACCACTTCCATGCCTTTTCTTATAACCTAGCTTCTACACAACAATTTTAATAAATTATTTGCCTGCATTTTGTGAATTCCTCCTGAATTGTTTCACATTACAATTGGGAAATAAGGGGTGTTATCCAGTCATTAGAATATCTTGCAGTGAATTTTGAGAGAAACACAGAAAGCAGATATATGTTATTTGGATTACAATATGTTGTAAAGCATATTACAAAATATATATGTTATTTGGATTAGAAACTTTGAGTATTTGCAATAGAACGTTTCTTTCTATAATTGCAATTTAGCTTTCTTGAGGAGCCTGTTTCATTTTCTCTGATGAGATAAAGGAGACTCTCCCCTTTGTTTTATGGAGTTGTATCTGGGTCCTTTCATCCTAGCTAAATGCTTTGCTTTAAAGGTTCAGGATATTATTCTTAATATGCTTTTCACATTTTTTTTCACAGGAGGTCAGATTGGAATCCAAATAGGAAGTCAGTTCTCTGGGGGTCTTCTACAGAACCAGAATGGTACATTTATTTATACTGTATATTTGTATTTATTTGCTACATCCATACTGAATAATAAAAATGCCGTAGAAAAAAAAAAACACCTCCTTAGCATATTTCCAGTGGTTCCAGATGAAAAGAAATGTGAATTAACATCTCTCTCTCTCTAAGAAGAGCAATATATTTACTAGACACCAGTTACTAAGTACACACACATTACACAGTATGGTTATATTTATATAATCATAGTTAACTAAGAAAATAGATGTTTTTGCAGAGGCTGTGTGCATATCTGCATGAACATGTACATATAAAACCAAAGTGATGTTTGATTCCTTTTAAAAAAAGCAAGTGAGACTACTTTGGCCTGCTGTGAAATCAGTGGCCGATGTTGGGAAACCAAGAAGGCAACCCATCCTCGCTGACTTTTACCATGTAATGATTTGTGTCTGTCCTGTGTGGCCATTTTGAAGAGTTTTCAGCCCCTTAACAGAAAAATATAAAACAGAGACAAGGGGATAATTAAGGTTTTTATTGCCTCCTTAGAAAGAGGAGGTGTAATGAAAAGGAAACTATGCTTTTGTAGCAGTAAGAAGCTAATTTAGTACAGCTTAGCCCTTTGTATTGTTCCATGTCTCTGAAGAATTCCAATATTCTAATGAAGCATAGTTTCATAAAGGGTCAAAGTTACCATGTAAAAAATGCAGATCATCACAGCTGAAGGCAATTCCTTATGACTTAAGTATCCTGAGTTCAAATTTTACTATCTACTTTTAACCTGTGTAAAATAAAACAGGCTTAACATTGTTTCCTTGGGTCTGGCATATTAACGTTCTAGTCCTTCCTGGGTCTATCCTACGTGCAAATTTAGGTATTGTTATGCTAGTTTTTGATTTCTTTCTTATTTCTTTTCTAGCTTCTTTTGGAATTTCAGCTAGCTTCAACATCTTCCCATCACTGCTGACAAATGTAGCAATAACATGTAAGTAAAGGAAACTAAGTGTATTCAGTAAGTGTTCAGTTTTAGGGGGTATAGACAGAAGACTTTAATATAAGTGGGGAAAGGCACTGACAAAGGAAGCAATGGGTAATTCAGAGGAGAAACACGGTGATTAGAAATAAACTGTTTTCTTAGCTGAAGTGAAGGTGGCTAATTAGGCTCTAGCTGAGCATAACTGTAACCATTTGTAGGGTATATGAGTAATAGATATCAATGATGAATAAATACACAGCTCTATAGTAGTTAGATAGAAAACAACAAATGGAGCTAGGCAGGCAAAAAACATTCTGTGAGAAAATGAAGCTTTGGACAAGTTGATTTTCCCCATGTGGAGGCTGGGGATTTTAAGTCATTTTTAACAGCCAGTCTTAATTCACAGCTGCTAATCCTGCTCACAATGGCCGTGTGTGCAGCACATGGGGCAACTTCCACTTCAAGACCTTCGACGGGGACATATTCACCTTCCCTGGGCTCTGTAATTACGTTTTTGCCTCCCACTGCAACGCTCCCTATGAGGATTTCAACATCCAGATTAGGCGTGAAGTGGTGGCAAACACTCCGACAATCAACCGCATCACCATGAAACTCGAAGGTGTCGTTGCCGAACTAACAAAAGATGCTGTCATGGTCGATGGCAACAGGTAAGTTCACTCGCAACACTCCTTAGGTATCCACAGGCATTTTTTTCCCAATCTTGCCAAGTACTTTGGTGTGCCTGGAGGGGGGGGGAAGGAAGCATTATGTGTTCATTATGTGTTCTTTAATAGATCTGACAATTTTACCAAAATAAATAATGAATAAAATGCTATTAATTCCTGTCACAGAAAATAAATCCTTCCCTTAAGGATTGCCTCAAAAATAAAATTTGCATGAAATGTTCTGAGAAGCTGGATCTGCATTTAGATCCATATATGATAATACTCGACCACTTTATTTTGTAATTGCTTTTCTTTCCCCAAAATACACCATTTTAGAATTCCTACAGATGGCGGATACGACAAGACTTTCCCTTCTTATCAAACATTTGGATCAGAAGCTAACTAGCATTCTTTCTGCCTTTTCCCAGAGTTCAACTGCCATATAGTCAATCTGGTATTACGATAGAGAAGAGCAGCATTTATGTGAAAGTTGGCAGCAAAATCGGTGTTGTGTTATTGTGGAATGAAAAGGACAGCATTCTGGTAAGAACTGCTCCTGGACCTGTTTGTCCCTTCAGAGAACAGAGCTAACCTTTGATTAGGCCTGGCTCTACCTGTTTAGGGGGTTGCTACTGCCCTCTTATCTCTCACTGTTGAGCAATTCTTTCTTAGTAAAGATAGGCTTGTATCCAGGTAGTTCTAAGGAAAATTACATGGATTTATACCTGTGGATGGTAGGCATCTGCTTAAAACAGGATAAAAAAATCTCTTTCATTGTATCATTAGCTATTGGTATTATTATAGGGCCTAATTACCCCTTCAAAGATATATTTTTAGCTGAATTTCCTATGCCTTCATTTTTTTCTGTGGATTTGCTTTTCTTCCTGAAGAATCAATAGAAAGTGGCTAAGAATAGTATAGCTAGTACAGTGAAATTTGAAGTCTGTGTCAATAGTATCAATAGCTTGGACTCTGCAATCAAATCTAAGTTGAGTCTTTATTCTATCTTTCGTGTTTAAAATAAAATTCCACAGATCTGACTAGAAATACTAAGAGACAGCAGGTACTACTGTTTTCTCTGGTTTTGAATATACTTTAGAATATTTATACTAACTTCTATCAACTAACTATTCATCATTTTAGCTGGAATTGAATGAGAAATATGCCAATCAGACTTGTGGACTTTGTGGTGACTTCAATGGCTTTCCCATATACAATGAGTTCATTTCAAACAGTAAGTGTTTTAAATTAAAAAAAAAAGGTTTACGTGATCTCCAACAAGCTGACATCATCAGCATTCCTCTTTCCCATCCTGTCAAATGGTTTACCCATAAGATATGATTCAATCTCTATTTAAAATATATATAGTAGAAAGATCAGATTATGTAAATTAATGCTCTGAGTGTAAATATAGTACTGGGGCTAACAACTGATTGCATATCTCTTGCTTGCCACGGTTGTAAACCATGCTGGTAAAAGTAATCAGGTAACTCCATAAAAATGAGCAGATTTGCATTTATAAGATAATTAAATATAGAAATATATTCAGTAAAACAAAAGGCAATTATATTTTCTAGACAGTACATTTCTAGTTTCATTTTTGTCTCACAATCAGTATATCCACATTTCCCTGTTGATTTGCATAATCTTTGTAAGATCTTATCTTTTTAACTATTCCCAGCTTGAACATTTTCTTAAACCTTGTCTTACAACAATCTCCATTGTCCAAATTCCAGTTTAGATCTTTTTTTTCCTCTGCCCTGAATAGGCTCAATATAATCTGAAAAGGGTTTGTTATTTTTCTGGGAAAAACCTTACTGTGCATCTAGATGTAATAAGCTGAGAATTATTTTCCAATGTTTCCTTTTTCCAGGGTGCTGTACAAAATAAATTGAGGTAGTGATGTAGTGCTTCCTTTGGAAGGGGTGATGGTCACATTTGAAGGCTTAAGGGAGTTAACTGTCTTGGCCGGCCTTGACCCCAATCCTTGAGAGAAAAAAAAAATATAACAGGCAGTTGCTTTGAACAAAAACCTCTGATCTGCATTATTAAACTTCTTTTCTACAGATATTAAGATGACAGCCTTGCAGTTTGGGAATCTGCAGAAAATGGACGGGCCAACAGAACACTGTGAAGACTCCACTTCTATCCCAACATATAACTGCTCTGATAATCTTGTAAGGATCTTTTGACTACCCTTTTATTTTTCTTTCAAATTTATCTGTTCCCTTCTACAACTTTATACGGGTCAATAGGAGAAGTCCTCAGGCAACAGCAACTTAAAGAGAGCTATAAGACTATGTTACAAAATAATTACAAAAAATAACAGTACCAACCCCCCCTCAACTTCTTTCTGTTTACTGAGACTTGTCTATTTTTTCCTCCAAAGGATGACATATGTGAGAAAACATTGACCAGCTCTGCATTTGCAGACTGTAATGACCTAGTTGATGTTAAAGACTACATTAAGATTTGCCAAGATGACTTGTGCCGCTCTGAAGAATCTAAAAACAGCTCATGCATCTGTGACACCTTTGCTGAGTACTCCCGGCAGTGTGCTCATGCTGGTGGGCAGCCCCTGGACTGGAGAACTTCTAAACTATGCCGTGAGTATCACTGGAGACAGCCTTACTTCATGCTCAGTAACTCACCAACAACAAGCTCTCAAATAACGCTGAGGGTGCAGGAGGAATTAAAGCCTGGTCAAGATTGAATCCTTTAGAAAATTCTGATGTATAAGTTCCAGCATGAAGACTTCAGCAAAAGAGCTAAGGATTTTAATGCAAACTGAATTAAACACTACCAAAACACTAACATGGATAGTCTAATGAGAGTCAAAGTGTAATTTAATGAACCAGTACAGTGAAGGAGGTAAATAAAGGAGAAACAAGAAAGAAGAATGAGGCACACATACTTACTTGCTTGCTTGTATTCCTGATTCTTTTCCTTATGATGGCTCTAGCATTCATTGTTCTTAATTAACTGATTGGATCTTCACAGGTGTATGTCTGACTAATCACCTCTTTATCTCCTCTTGCTTGATAGTGATGAATTTATATTGATTAAACATATACTTGATTATGGGGTAGGTGTTGATACTGTCACCAGCTCCAAAACAAAAGCCCATGAGGTGCTGTTTGTCCTTCTGATGGTATCTCAAAATGCAAATATACTAAAGCTTTAGGAATTTAAGTCTTACATTTCACTAGCAGTACAGGTGTTCACTGGGAAGGGAGCCTTCAATAAAAACAGACCTTGCTGGCTTTCTGAGGTTATTACCTTGCTGTCCACAGAAATCCAGTCATTGAGCCAGTTCAGCACCAGAGTCATGGAATGCACATCTCAACTGTAAAATAGGGATTGAGGTGGTAAAACTTGCAAATTTTGAGAACTATAGTCAATTGCAGTTTGGTGTGTTGTTTTGTTTTTTTTTTTTAATCTAGCTTTAAAACTTAAATGGATATAAATGTATAGACAACTAGAAATACTTTTGACTGAAAAAAATAAAACTCTCTTCCTTTAAATTTCAGCCAAGAATTGTCCTTACAACATGCAGTACCAGGAGTGCAACTCCCCCTGTACTGATACCTGCACGAATCCTGAACGATCTCTATTTTGTGAAGAACACTGTATTGATGGCTGTTTCTGCCCCCCAGGCAAGTCCTTAAGTACTCACATCTCTGATCTCAAAGAACAAGAGCTTACCTGTAGGTTCCATGGGATTTAAGCCTCATATAGTTGTATTTTTCACAGCTGCCAGTGACAAGCATTTGTCTGTGTGTCAGCTGAGAAAAGATGTCTGAATTATTGCCAATACATGTGCAATATGCAGAAAGCAGGATAAAAGAACAGCAAAGAGATCAAGACCAATCTTTCAACCAGCCACTTATGCTGGTTGAAAGTCTCTCTTTCAGACCAAGTGGAATTTAGGAATACAAAGGTTGAATCCTTCCCTCAGCAAACTGACAGTCCTGCTGTCCTGAGCATTGGTGTGTCCACTCACAACTGCAGGTCTCTTGCTAAGAAAATATTTAGGATTTGTAACAAATAAAATGGTGTGTAGGAAATGCCTCTTTAATTGATCAAGGCTTTGATTTTCTTTTTTTTAATCTAGGGACTGTATTTGATGACATCAACAATTCTGGCTGCATTCCCCAGCAGGAGTGCTCCTGTATTTACAATGGCAAAACCTATGCTACAGGAGCTTCTTTTTCAGAACCATGCCAGACCTGGTAACCTTTGTTTCTTTTCTAACTCACTGTTTCCTCTCATATATTTAATGGGTTTAATAGTTTATTATGTGCAATCTCATCATTGGTAATTGATATGTGTATTTAACTGACTGCTGCATTTCCAAAGCACCCCTAAAGAATATTATTTGTTTTATTTAGCAACAGCCACAACTAGCTTTGCACTCTATCTCATGGTGATCAAAGCAAGGATTTACAATGTTTAGACTTCTCACCAGTCAATTAAAATGCTTCCTCTTTGTTTCTTTTGTTCAAACATTTGGAATTCTCTGAGGGGAATGAAGCTGCAGTCATTAATGTATTTGCAAATATTTATTTTCTCTGGAAAAAGCAAGGGATGACACAATACAAGCTCAATGTCTCAATTATTAACCCTGTACCTGTGCTCTACCACATCACCTTGGAAAATAGACATAGTCTGCTTCAGGAGCAGATGTGGAGTTACCTTTTCTTATTTGTTAGTTTATGATACATTTGTATTACAAAAAACAAAACCCCAAAACCACCCAGGAAATATTTTAACTTGACATTGTGCTTTATGTTACCTGAAAAAATCCACACAATTATTTATCCAAAACCTGTTTTGGAGAGTTCACCTGTCCGAAGAAGAAAATAATTAGATAGGTGAGGAGAATGGTTACCAGAGAAATTAATTTTAATACGTTGCATCGCAAGTTCACTGTGTTTTTGAAACTCTTAAACCTGTGCATCAAACCATAGCTTGAAGGGAAAGCAATAGCAAAGCAGCTGCATCTTACAGCACTGTATGTTCCTCTTGTTCTGGATTCCACTGTTAGTGATTTCACCTAACTTTATTCTTCCAGTACCTGTAATGGAGGCCAGTGGAGCTGCCAAGACAAGTCCTGCCCAGGAACGTGCTCTGTAGTGGGAGGTTCCCACATTTCAACCTATGATAAGAAGCACTATGATCACCACGGAGACTGCACCTACGTCCTCTCTAAGGTGGGACTCAGAGGATGCTTCTAGATCATAAAGCCTCATAGATTTATAGAAAGAAAACATGGTCTCTATCCACACTTATGAAGCTTAGCACTTCTGACATACAGACATTAAATTCCCTGTCACTTAGCCAGATGTTTGCTACGATGCCATTTCACTGATAATAATTAGATAATTATTAGGATGTCATGCAACTGTGTGTGGTGCTCACTGGAAAATTTCCAGTTCTGTGAGAGAGTAATTGCAGAGCACTGTCTTTTTAAGAATTTGCCTAGTGTGCAACCTTCAGTACAACTAATCCAGCTCTCTTACTGGGTTGCATAATTTTTGCCATGTTACTCTATTATATGGTATTTGGCCAAATGGTATGGTACAACTCTAAAAATTACAGTAACTGTTCTTAAAAATAAAGATTATAAAACAGCCTTTTTTTCATTTTCATGGAGTTTAAATACAGAAAAACACTTCAAGTTAATTGATGCATTTCACTTAGCTTTTAAATGTTTTTAAACATTTAAAAATAACTCAAAAGAAATAGAAAATTTGGAAATTATTGTAATTAAAATTTTTAATTACAGACATGTGTAGGTGAAATGTTTTGATGTTTTAGGGGCTTTTTCTGTTTGTTGTTTGCTTTCCTTTTTCCCCATCTGCACTATTCAGTAAATGGAAATCAAATGTATGTTACTGTTCACCTAAAACATATTTTATCAGAAATTTTTGTCTAGCATTGATAACAGCTACAGAAAAATGGGAGTTACAATAGAATTGAGTAAAACATTAGAAGTTGTCATGAATAAAACTACCAAATATGAATATGGATCTCCATCTTGACATCTGTATGGATACAATCAATAAAATCCAGATTCTACATTTCTTGTTCCTAATAATTCAAACAGGGAAAAATTGAATCTTCAGCCAAAGCAGCTCTGGGATTTGTTACAGTCTATATCTTGTCCAGAAAAAGAAATACTTTTTCAGAATTGAGAGAAAATTTTATAGGGAAAACTTTTTTGCAAATTTTATAGGGAAAACTTCCTGTAATTAGCCTTCAGTGAAATAAGTTGACTTTTTTTCTTTCAGGACTGTCAAGATGAAAAATTTACCATCCTGGCAGAACTACGCAAGTGTGGCCTGACTGACACTGAGACCTGCCTAAAGTCAGTGACCCTCAACATGAATAAAGGACAAACTGTAAGAATGCAAAATAAGCACAATAAAAATATGGGGAGAAAAGAAACTAGGGCTTAATCAGTCAGGCAGCTGCATTTCTTTGTCAGATTTTCAGCATATGTATGATGAGTAGATGATATTTTTAATCAAGTGAAAAGAAGTGGATTTTGTTACGAAAATCAGATCAGCCCTAAATTTGGCTTTGTGGAATTTCATTAAGAAACGTATTGTACTCACAAAGCAGAAAAAAGCTATTTTCTCTGCCAATTAGATGGGAAAAGACCATAAGCTTCAAGGTTAGTAATTATGATTACAAAAGTTAGTGATGTAATTAATCACGAAGATGCGTTCAAAGAAAATAACATGATGTAATCACCTAAAAAGCCAAGAAAGTCTCTTTAAAAGTAATTCTTTTCTGGCAGGGAAAATTAGTAAAGTGTACAAAGTAGAAATAAGGGGGAGGTGAAATCACAAAGATCTACCTTTTTATTGAATACTGGTTTAATTAATATCACTGGGGTCCTCCTCATTATTACTCTTTGGACTATAGTTATTTTTCACACATGGTTGGCATGCTGGAAGGCCAGCCTGGCCTACATCCCAAGCAGTGTGGCCAGCAGGGCGAGGAAGGGGATTCTTCCCCTCTACCTTGCTCTGGGAAGGCTCCCCTGGAGTGCTGCATCCAGCTATGGGATCCCCGAGCATAAGGAGAACATGGACCTGTGGGAACAGGTCCAGAGGAGGCCACAGATGAGCACAGAAGAGGGCCTTTCCTCTCAGGAAAGATTTGAGAGAGTTGGGGTTGTTCAGCCTGGAGAAGGGAAAGCTCTGGAGAGACTTTTAGTCCCTAAAATGAGAGCCTTTCTGTCCCTAAAATGGGCCTACAAGAAAGCTGGAGGGGGACTTTTACTAGGGCAGAAGTTCCTATGACAAGGAGGAATGGCTTTAAACTGAAAGAGGGCAGGTTTAGATTAGATATTGGGAAGAAATTCTTTACCATGAGGGTGGTGAAACACTGGGACTGGTTGCTGAGAGAATCTGTGGATGTGCCATCCCTGTAAGTGTTCCGGCCAGGTTGGATGGGGCTTTGAGCAACCTGGCCTAGTGGAAGGTGTCCCATGGCAGGAGGGTTGGAGCTGGATGACCTTTAATAGTCACTCCCAGGCTAAACCATTCTATAATTCACAGAGTTGCCTTTTGTTCCCCTTCCTTATCAGATCGTGGAGGTCAAACCTGATGGTGGTGTGTTTGTGAACTCCATCTACACTCAGCTGCCCATGTCAGCAGGTAGTTTTTTCCTCTAACAGTAAATTACATGATTGCTTTTGAAGTAAAGTGGGATGTTTGGCATCATGCTGGACAAACACAGGCAAGGGTTCAAACAGTAGCAAACAGAATTTACAGTCTTCTGATTTGATTACTCTCAGATTTACTTCCTTCTCACTGCACAAAAGTGAAGGCAGAAGACATCTCTTTACCTCTTTTACCTCTTTTTTTGTCCCTACCCCTCTGCTCACACTTGCTTAGAAATAAATTTTATTTTTGTTTCAATAACTAAGGATTCCACATGGTATCTCTGACCTCCAGATCTTTATTTCACTTCTGAATTTGCAAAAAAATGCAGTAGAAATTAAGAAAGAGCAGCATTGTGTTTTCAGCATTTGGCCTTGCTCAGAAAGTGACAGTTTTGTCTCTGATGTGTAGCTAATGTCACCATGTTCAGACCTTCCTCATTCTTCATGATCATGGACACAAGCTTTGGCGTCCAGGTTGAAGTGCAGTTCACACCCATGATGCAAGTGTTTGTGCGTCTGGATGCTTCTTTCAAAAACCAGACTTGTGGTGAGTGAATGAAATAAAGGACTCCTTGATCAATGTCTTTTTTCGTAGTCAGAGCAGTATAAACTTTTCACTGCCTTTCAACAGGTCTCTGTGGAAATTTCAATAACATCCAAACTGACGACTTCAAGGTCATAAGTGGAATAATTGAAGGAACAGCATCAGCATTTGCTAATACATGGAAAACTCAGGCTTCATGCCCTAATATCCAGCAGAGTTTTGAGAATCCTTGTGCACTCAGCATTGATAATGGTGAGTGCTTCTTAAAACTTCTTCTGGTTTGTTTTTTTTCTTTTTGCTCATCTCTAAGGAAAACACATCTGTTGGAAAGCAAAGATTAAAAAATAAAGACTTAAATATTTGATAAAAACCTACATCTGAAATCAGAAACAAATATTCAAAATGAATGCACTGAAGATAAGTAAGGATGTAAAAAAAGAGTGACAGAAGCATAAGTGAAGCAAACGGCAAGGACACTGAAAATAGAGTAGATGTTCAAGCTGACAGCTTGGTGTCAGAGAAGTGGATTGCTGGAGCATCTTTGGAAACCTTTAATTCATCTCCTTCAGCAAGTCCTCGTCTTTGGTTTTAGGAACCATGAGCCACAAGCTGAGTGAAAAGAGAAAAAAAAAGATAGGAGAAGAAGAGATTTAATGGAATGTCAGAACTGTCTGCACAGGCCAGGGCAAGCATGGGTTTATGACTAATGAAGTACAAAGAGTAATGTGCATTTTTATTGTTTCTTCATTTCACAGAAAAATACGCTCAGCATTGGTGTGGACTGCTCACTGACAGCACAGGACCTTTTGGTGCTTGTCACTATGCAGTGAATCCCGCTGTTTACCACACGGTACTTCGCCCTACTGCTTTTCCCTTTGGAAACAATAGAAATAGGGGCTGTTCCAGACGTGTCTTAGGCAATGCCTGTGTCCCCATTGCTGTGCTGCAGTTTCTCCTTCTTTCAACATGTGTTTGTCTTTGAGTTGTAACATTACTTTATTCCAGTTGTCAGTCTTGGCTTCAAGATCCTGGCTTGTTTGCTGATGAAAAGGCGGCTATTTACTCCCAGGTGGTTTTACACATAAGCCAGATAGTGTATTTAAAGGCATGTCAAATGCTTGTTTGAATATCAGTCAATTTTTACCTTATCAGCCTGGCGTCTCATTAATAACTGCTTGGAACAGAAAGCACATTACCTAATTACCATCACTCTGCTAACCAGTGTTGCAAACCACTCTTCTCACTAGGAGTTACCCAGGTGTTGACACTGGTGAAATGGGATGTCTGGACTGCCTGTTGTGAATAGAGCTTTGGATGCTATTGTGCAGCATATCCACCAAAAAGTTTCTGAGGACCAAGAAGCTGCAAAATGTATAACAGAATTTAAGACCACTATTTCCTAATTATAACTGCAGTAATTGACTCAATTTTCATTACGTGCATTTTCCCCCGCCAGGAACCTTAGACAAAGACTGGAAAGTGGTAAAACTGTGTTACTGTTGTCTATGAGTGAGCATATCTGAAGAAAGATTAAGAAATAAGACTTGAAAGATAAAGTTCACTGGTTTTTTAAAGACTGACAATATTTCCAGTGCTGAGACCTTATTTTTCTCTCCATTCTTAGAACTGCATGTTTGACACATGTAACTGTGAAAATAGCGAGGACTGCCTGTGTGCAGCTCTGTCTGCCTATGTAAGAGCTTGTGCTGCAAAAGGAATCCAGCTGCAGGGATGGAGGACTGATGTCTGCAGTAAGTACTCTCCTCATTTCCTAAGAACACACATCAATAAAAATTGCTGATCAGAGATTATTTTCTACTCATTTCTAGACAAATCAGTAAGTGATGAGGAAGGGATTTTGTTAAGTGCACTCCTGGAAGTAATTCTCTGCTGTCCCCTTAGAATCAATCCATTGCTGGCAAGAGTGAATATGAATAGAAGGGAGATGTGGTTTGATTATGAAAGGGACTGTTTTTATGGAAGTGCCTCCACCTGTTCCTGTGCAACTCAGAGTTTCACTACACTTTACAAGTATCACAAGTTGTTGCAGAGATAATGTGTTGTATTAGAATAACCGTACTAGTAATACTGACCAGAACACTTGCAGATTCATGTCTTTGAAGCTGCATGCTGGGTTCTTGTCTCATTCCTCAAGAGGTTTAGGCACCTTGGCATTGAATGGCAGCAGCAAATGGAGGTTTCCTTCTGAACTTCCATTTGAAAAAATCTTTTCTTCTTTGCACGCATTATTTACTCCACACATACAATAGCTTTTCAGATCAAACTCTGAAATTATTCAGAAATGCATTTACATGAAATATGCAACATAAGCAGAGGTATATTGTTTACATGTTTTTTCTACTGCCTATGATTTTTCTTTTTTCACATGAGAATATACCATCTGCAACTAACAATCTATTTTATTTTCCTCTCTCAAGCAAAATACACCACCTCATGTCCCAAATCCCTGAGCTACAGCTATACCATCTCTTCCTGTCAACCCACCTGCCGCTCTCTGAGTGAGCCTGATGTCACATGCAACATTAAGTTTGTCCCAGTTGATGGCTGCACCTGTGTAAATGGAACCTACATGGATGAAAGTGGCAAATGTGTGCCTGCTAATGAGTGTCCCTGCTACTACAAAGGATCTCCTATACCATTTGGAGAAGTGGTCCATGAAAATGGGCGTGTATGGTAAGTAATATTTTTTAAAACATTCAAATAACATGTATTTTCTCATTAAAGTCTGGAATGTGTAAGATGGTTTCACCCTGAATTTCAAAAGAATGCTCTCTCTTCAATTTCTTCAAGTTTTTTTAACTTTATTTTCCAATTTACAAATGGTATATATTCCCCTGAGTTGCAGGATGAGGACAGAGGGCAGAATGGAGCCCTACAATGAAAAGTGAAATGGTTAATGACCATTTAAATACACACAGTTCTATGGGCCCAGATGGGGTCCACCCAAGGGCACTGAGGGAGCTGGTGGAAGTGTTCACAGAGGCACTTTCAATCATTTGTCAGCAGTCTGGTTAACCTTGGAGGTCCTGGTTGACTGAAGGTCAGCAAATGTGATGCCCATTTACAGGGTGGGCCAGAAGAAGGATCTGGTGAACTACAGCCCTGTCAGCCTGACCTTGGTGCCAGGGAAGGACACAGAGCAGATTGTCTTGGGTGGCACACACAGGGCAAACAGGGGATCGGGCCCAGCCAGCATGGGTTTGGGAAAGGCAGCTGCTACTTAACCTACCTAATCTTATATGACAAGGTGACCTGCTTAGTGGATGAGGAAAGGCTGTGAATATTGTCTGCCTGGACTTTTGTAAAGCTTTTGACATTAAGGAAGTGATTGTCCCCCTGTATTTGGTCCTGGTGAGCTGTACCTCGAATCCTGTGTTCAGTTTTGAGTCTCTCACAAGAAGCAAGGCATTTTGATGCTGGACTATGTTTAGAGAAGGACAGCAGAGCTGGTGTGGAGCACAGGTATTATGAAGAACAGCTGAAGGACCTGAGGTTGTTTAACCTGGAGAAAAGGAGGCTCAGTGAAGACACTCACACTCTCTAAAACTGCCTAAAAGGAGGTTGTGGTGAGGTGTGGGTCAGCCTCTTCTCCCAAGTACCAAGTGACAGGATGGAAGGAAATGGCCTCAAGTTGCACTGGGGCTTGTTTTGATTGGATGTTAAGAAAAATTTTGTACTGAAATGGTTGTCAAGCACTGGAACATGTTGCCCAGGGAAGTGGTTGAGTCACTATCCCTGCAATTATTTAAAAGCCATGGAGATATGGCACTTAGGGACATGGTTTAGTGGTGGACTTGGCAGTGCTGGGTTAATGGTTGGACTTGAGGATCTCAAGAGTCTTTTCCATCCTAAAGGTTTCTATGATTCTGTAATATTTCTAGATTGACAGGGCAATTGTATTTCGGTGCATTTTTTATTTAATTCCATAATCTTTCAAGTATAAAATTACAACAACAGCAACAAGGGGAGATCTTATGAGAATGTAAATAACGAGCAATGACATATATGCATTACAACCTATGAATTTTCCTGCTAAGCAACAATGGATATCATATGAAAGCAGCATGTGTAGTGGTATTGAGAGAAATTCTTTCCCAAGACTGCAAAACAGGTTTTTAGAATTCCTTTGAAAGTTCTGAAACTTGACAAGGGATAAGTAGCTCTCAATCTCAATATTTGGTTTGAGAGGAGATAATAAAATAGATTGTTTTCCCCTCTCTCACAGCACTTGTGTCCAGGGAAGATTGAATTGCATTGGAGCAACAAATCCAACTTCAGGTAAAAATAATCTTCCACTGATTTTTTTCTCTTTACCAGGTCTTGCACAGAATAGTTCATAGAATTGATTCTTCTTAATAGATTTTTAATAGAAGAATTTCTCACTTAGTCATAGTGCTACAGTTGTCATAAAAGCAGGAGTGAAGTAGATTACTCATAAAACCTCTTTTTACAGAAAGACTTTTTGTTCTGATATATTTTGTGGGGTTTTTTTGGGGGAGGAATCCAGTACTCTGTAGTGAATCTCATCAGCAGGTTGAATAGGGACAACAATCTCAGCTAACTGAAATAGGGAATTTCCAAAGAACTTATAGATGGTTTAAATGGCTACAGCTGTGAAATAAACCCTGTGCCACTTCTTCCCTCCCTCTAGTCTGTGAATCTCCCCTGGTCTACTTTGTCTGTAAAAACAACACAGCAGGAACAACTGGAGCAGAATGTCAAAAAAGTTGCCAGACTCTGGATATGCAGTGTGTAAGTATGTCATGGCCCAATTAAATGGTGCTTCCAGGTTTGTCTATGCTCTTGCTGCTGAAGTAATTATCTATTGGATCTACTCCAGACCTACAACACAGATACATTATTCTTGTAGCAGAAGCCCTGAAATGATGTTATGAAGCATTAACAATGGAACCCTTGGATCAAAATATAATAAGTAATATCCAAATTAATTCTTAAGATTAGTGTCTACCTTTCTTCAGCTACTGCAGGTAACAGTAACTAGTAGTGAAAAATCTAGAGTTCTACTGCTTATTTGCCTTCTGTAGGAAAGGCTAAAAATTGGCTAGGAGAAATGATTGTTTCTCATACCATGCTGCATCTAATCATGTTACTCCACTTAAGTTCTTGGTAGCCACATGCCATTTCATGAGTAAGTACCACATGAGATAAATAAATTTCAATATAACTCAGCGAAACTGAAAAAAATATTACTTGTCTTTCTTTTAAAAGTCCATTCAGTCACAAATCATCCATTACAAAGTGCAAGAGCCAATGTGTTTTAAATTTCACAGGTTCCAACAGAACAATCAGGATTGGTATACATAAAAAAATTTTTCTTTGACAGATTTATATTTTATTAAATCTATGGCTAATAACCTTTTTGTTCCGTTACCCTTTAATTACTTTATAGTTCTCTCCTATTTAAGTTGGGCAGCAATAAGACCATATAAGGCACCTTTAATGAGAACTTAATCTTCCTTTTTCTAATGTGATCATTTCACTCTAAAATTATGTTTTTATTTTCTCTTTTCCAGTATAGCTCACAATGTACATCTGGCTGCATATGCCCAGATGGGCTTGTGTTAGATGGGAATGGTGGTTGTATTCCTGAAGAGGAATGTCCATGTATTCACAATGAAGCCATGTATCAGCCTGGGCAAAAGATCAACTTCGACTGCAACACCTGGTAAGTATATCTGCAGAAGTAGCATTCCTGGTTCCATCATTTGCTTTTCTAAACACCTTTTATAGTAAAAGAACAGGGAAAGATTTGGATTCCAAATCTAATCAGTTGATGGATTTTAGATCTTTTAGTTTTGGGTTACACAGTATGAGAAGGTTGCCTTCTGATATCTGTCAGATGGCCAAAGCACAGAATGGGAGGAAACCTTTAGGACTACAGGGTTCATTAAGTATCTAGTTTTGCAGTTAAGGTATTCAGGTAGCAGAACAGAATTTTCTTTAATTCTTTACATGAAAAATGTAAAGGACTATTTTATTTCCAGAAAAAATATAGCATTTGGCAGGGATGGATTGCCAAACAAATATTGATTGTTCAGATATGTCTACACAAAAGAGTAAGTTGTTTTATTATTAAAATATTTAATTCTTTTTTTTTCCTAGTGTATGCAAGAATAGGAAGTGGGAATGTACCAAAGATCAATGTCTGGGCACTTGTGCTGTTTATGGAGATGGTCATTATAACACCTTTGATGACAAAAGATTCAGCTTCAATGGAAACTGTGAATACACACTAGTCCAGGTACTGATAGCTAGCAGTAGCAAATGAGGGGTAATCTTGATCCTATCTGTAAAAATAATATATTTTTAAATGTTATTCTCTACCCAGGACCACTGTGGGAAAAGTGGCACAGTCAACGGGACCTTCAGGGTTGCCACTGAAAATGTTCCCTGTGGCAACACTGGGACAACTTGCTCAAAGTCTATCAAAGTTTTCTTAGAGGTAAGAAGGTTTTGCACATAGAGCAGTTTTCCTTTGTACCTGCTAAGGCTTAGGAGAAGCCTAGATTTCTATTGCTTCAAAGAATTTGGAAAATATTTTAAAAAGCAATTCAACTATTAAATTAGGTTTACATCAGATTCAAGTGAAATATTTGGTAGATCTTCCTACCTTTCTATGTTTTTGACTTCCCACCCTATTTTACATCATCCTTGGGAAAAGTAAAGGTCTAAAGGCAGAAATTTAGCCTATTTGAGTCAGAAGATTATTGTATGCAATGTAGTTTCTCCTTGACAGTCAAAAGACACTTTTTTAACCTACACCATTTAAATATCTGTTACCACACTTCCAGGAACCTGAGATTTGAATTAGATTGCTTTGATTCATTGCATTTTGATTATTTGTTTTCATGATATAAACTATTTATTCACAGCACTCTTAAAAGCAGGAAAAAACATGTTTGAGAGCACAGCTGCAGCTACTGACTCATTTCTCCTTACCTTTTCCTCCTGTTTCAGAGCTATGAGCTGATCCTTGGTGAAGAGCATGTCAGTGTCGTAAAGAGAGGACAGAATGACGAGGTGCCATACACAGTCCGCTCTATGGGGATGTACCTGGTAATTGAGACCAAAAGTGGGCTGATCCTCATGTGGGACAAGAAAACCAGCATCTTCATCAAGCTCAGCCCTCGTTTCAAGGTGCGGAACTAGCAGTTCAATGGCAATTTACTGTCCAGCTTTGACTGGGTGTGAATCTCGTTGAGACCCTGCCAAGATCCCAAATAGTGATGGTCTCTAGCATTCCTGCCGTTCATCCCACATTGCTTTCCATTCCTCTGGTACCTCAGGATGCCATGTCATCATCCTGCTGCCATTCTGAGCTTGGAAGGTAGCTTCCAGTGCCTATTTGGCCTGATAGAACTTGAGTTGGCAAAACACTATTTTGGACTTGACTTTGTTGAAATTACAAACTGAACATTGTTACAGGTTATCAGACTTATTAAAATTACATACCTACCTGTGTGTAAATCAACTGAATAGGCTTGATCTTGAAAATAATCCATTGTTTCCAGTTCTCATTGACACACAAATTATCACACTTCAAGAACAAAGAAGTGTATAATGAGTGAAAGCCTCTTTTATGCCACCAAATATTTGTCAAGCATACAACTACACAGATGATAAGGAAAATTAATTCCAATTTTCGTACTCCTCTTAGCTTATGATATATAAGCACTAAAAACTGTAGTAAATACAGAATTTTCTATCTTACTGCATACCACAATGATATTTAAATTAGATATTTAAATGAAGCATAATTTAGAACCAACTTCTTTCAGTACTATAGGTTCTTTCCCTGCATCACTCAGCAGCACTTTTAAAAAATAGTAGTAATATGGAAAGTATGCACCTTAGTTTCATAGAAAAAGCATGTATTGTAGCCTCTCACAGTTGTACAGATCCATACATTCGGAATGAGTGATATTCCTGGATGCACAAGGAAAATGTAATTTCTTTATATACCAGTGAGCAGACTTAATGGTAAAGACTCAATTAATAGATTAGGTGGCTGAACTGTTAGTACTTAATAGTTAGAAGGTTGTTTTTATATGTATAGCTATTCTACAAAACAAGGCTTAAATAAAAAGCTTAATCAGCTATGAGTCCTCACTTCCTTGTTAAAAATATACCTCAAAGACAGAAGGTTATGACGACAAAGATGGTTTTATTGTTCATATTTAAAAGAAAAAAGTTAAGAACAGTATCCTTCTAGCTGTAGTGGTCATATTCTGTTCCTCTATTCCAGAGTATGAAGATGTTTAGGACTGATAGAATGGAATGCCACTATTCTAAGAGATGGATTTCAAGTATTCTTTCAGTCTCAGATTTTGTTTCAAGTTTTCTCACATCCATTATTCTTTTATGCAGGGCCAGGTCTGTGGTCTCTGTGGAAATTATGATGGCAACAGCGTCAATGACTTTACTACGAGGAGTCAATCTGTAGTAGAGAATGTCCTAGAGTTTGGAAACAGCTGGAAAGTATCCTCTACGTGCCCTGATGCTGCCAGTGTCAAGGACCCATGTTCTACCAACCCTTATCGGAAGTCCTGGTCAGAGAAGCAGTGTAGCATCATCAACAGCAATGTCTTTGCTGCCTGTCACTCTCAGGTATTACCAGGGCAGATGTTTACTGTGGGAAAACTAAGCCTGTGGGTTGTTGAAGGTACTATTCTCGTAGGTTTTAACACGCATGCCTTGTTTATTAATATGTTTCACTTCAAATTTTGCCGGGAAAACTCCAGTCTGAATCGCCCTCAATGGGAGAGATTTATAATTCCTACTTCTAAGAAATAAAAAGACATTTAAAAAGAAAAATAACAACAAAATAATAATAATTTCATAATTACTATGAATTTCCTTGCAGCCTGACTTGAGTAAAAATTCTCATATACCAGGTAGAGAAGGCAAGCTCAATGAAATAATAACACAGAAATGAAGTATCAGCATAGCCTTTACCTGACACTAAGTACATAACAAATGTTGTCAGGTAACTGTGCAGTTGCCTAATCTTTTTTTTGAAAATTAATCTAATCTTACACCAGAATACAAGTCTAGGTTTCTAAAAATCTGGCAATACATGACTTGGATGTATCATTTGGCATCACCTCAGGTGTCTTACAGTGTTTAACAAAAGAAAAAGAAATTACCAATGTAGGTCTTTCCTCTGGGATATACAATTGTAAGAAAACTACTCGAGCAAAGGTAAGAAATCACTTAGAAGGCAGGATGCATAATATTATATTTCTGTTTAATAACAGGTTGAACCAGCAAAATATTACCAAGCATGTGTGACAGATGCTTGTGCCTGTGACACTGGAGGAGACTGTGATTGCTTTTGTACAGCAGTAGCTGCCTATGCTCAAGCATGCAGTGAAGTTGGTGTATGCGTAGCCTGGAGAAGCCCAACAATTTGTCGTAAGTTTTATGTCATAAACCTTTCTCAAAGTGCAGCTAAGTGTACAGTATCTTACATATGTGCATTAATATCTATCTCACTGTGTCAATTTTTCATGCTTAAGCTATTTGATCTTTTTTTTTCTTTCCCTGAATATGTTCAACTTTCTGTTTCTCCTCAGCACTGTTCTGTGATTACTACAATCAGCAAGGAGAATGTGAATGGCACTATAAGCCTTGCGGTGCTTCCTGTATGAAAACCTGTAAGAACCCAAGTGGAAAATGTCTCAATGACCTGCCAGGTTTAGAAGGTAAAAATAGCTGCAAGTACCTCCTAGTGGGTACATATTGCTATATTTTAAACTGTCTTTGATGAAGTATATTTCCTCCATCAACTGCATTTGCACAATTGAATTTTTCTCTAGTATCATTATATCCACATGAATGGAAGCAGATTATGGAAACTGGAGTAAGAAGATCTCTAGGACTAAGTTCTTATGGATGGGTTCTGCTGATGCTAGTAACTCTGCATTTCTTCCTAGAGCTATTCCAAAACATAAAGTAGAAACATGATGACAATTAAAAACACGACTTGCAAATGCAGTTGGTGCAAATAAAACCTTTTCTGACTGTATCTCATTGTTACCTTTTCCACCTTCAGGCTGCTACCCTAACTGCCCACCAGACAAGCCATATTTTCATGAGGATCAAATGAAGTGTGTTAGTCTCTGTGACTGTTATGATGATGAAGATGGAAAGATATATCAGCGAGATGAATGTAGTATATGGTAAGACTTAACATACCAACCTCATCTTATACAAGGAAAAATGATCAAAACTCAGGGGAGAAGTTGTATGTTCCTGTTACATGCAAGATCAGTTCGTGCTACCTGTGATGAAATAATGTCTTACGATCTAATGCCAGTTTTCCTACTACATTAATAAGAAGGTTTTACATGATTTTATGTTTTTATGAATTTATTTGTATGGATTATATTGTAAATCCTCAGCATTAAGATGCAGCAAGAACAAGAATTCCTTTATGACTAGGCTATCTTTATTTCACATTCCTGTGGCAGGAAAAATGTTGTGCCATGAGTAAAGATATTTATTAGTGGCCTGCTTCTGAGGATTTTGCAACATACTTGCATCATTTGAGCATATAGACTCACCCTTTTAGCCTTCTATTTTAGTACAAAAATACTGCAAATGCAAGAAAAGTGATATGAAGGAAAAAAGGAAAGTCTGCCTTAAGACTTCTACCCATAATTTTGCATAATATTTAACTTCACTTCTATTTATATGTTTGGGTTTAATATAAAGGAAGATTTTGGAAAATAACGGCCAAAAAGGAGCCAAAATGAACAGAAAGCTCTAGGAATAAACACAAAGTGCCTTACCTTTTGATGCCAGTATCTGTCAGAAAGATGACTAATAAAATTACATCACAATCACAAAATATATGGGGTTTTATGCTTTCTGTTTCAGTGAGTGCACATCAGAAGGTTTACAGTGCAAGTTCGATGATAAAGGTAAGACAGCTAAGAAAAATTATTTAGAAAAAGAAGTATTGGATACTATCTTTTCATAGATGTCTGAACTGACAATAAACTTCTGAATTACAGCCTGCAACTGCATTTATGAAGGGAATAGCTATAAATATGGTGAACTCATCTACAACACCACAGATGGAACTGGATGGTGTTTCAGTGCAACATGCGATGTCAATGGAACAATAAGCAGAAACATCTTTAAATGTGGCATTTTTACAACAACCCCATTTACATTTACCACAAGTCAGGCCACAACTACTGCTTCAGGTATGCATAAATAATCTTTAAAATAATTCTGAAATCTCTGTAAGTGACTAAAAATTACCTGAAAGGCAGGACCTTTTCATCAGTTAACGGTATATAATTTTACTTGAAACTATTGACTTCTACTGGAGCCACTAATTCACCTGGCAGCTTTAGTTGAAAAAGAATAGTTAAGGATGTAGAAATGAATACACCATTTCTTACAAACTCAGTTTCCTCTGTTTTACCATGGTGATCCTTGGGGAAAAATTAATAGAGCTTATTAATCACTGCAACCTGGAGAATCTTCTAATTTCCTTGCAAAAACCCCCAGCAGTTCTAGACCAGCTTCTGAAGACATGAAAGACAGTTGCTGCCATTTCCTAAATTAGTGAGCACATAAGAAATTTATTTTGAGGGAGTCTTTAAGCTATTTATAACCATTCTTTGGAACCTTTCCTAATTCTGTTTAATACCCAAATCAATAATTTCCTTCTACTCCTGGAGTACACTGCTATATTATTCTTGCTGTTAATTAATTACAATGACCAAATTCTGAGTAATTATGAGAAACATATCCACAAAATTATACTACAGCAAGAACTAAATATTCAAATTTAAGTCTTCTATTAACTAACAGTCATATTGAGAAAGTAATATCAATTCCACATGGTTATTTTCAAAATGCCAGGAATACGAAGTCTTATTAAAATACATAGAAAATACCTATTAGATTATATATTTCATATATAGTATATGTGTATTCTCTATTATAATGTACTACATATAAAATACACATATGTTAAGTATATATTTTATATTTATAAATATTTTACATGTGGTAATATTGAACTAAGTAGAAAAGTCATTAACTGGTCAAAATATTTTAAAGTCTGTGTGGTTATGCAGTTAAGTGTAAATAAATACAGAGATAATACCAAGGAGAATAAAACCTCTTCTACTTATACCAAAGCAATTGAGATGTATTATCTAAGCAGTGACATACTGTGCAAAGGATATCAGATTACCTATATTTAGCTACAAACCTTTAATAGGTGTCAAAGAAACTACCTCTACAATAATAAGGCAAAAAGTCAAAACCTACTTTAGAAATTAAATTTGAGACTGCCAAAGCAAGTTCATTAAAATTAAAATATTACATAATATTAAAAATATTTACAACAAAAAAAAAAAGTATGGAAGATTAATAATTTCTTCCTGGAACTCTAATAAGAACAGACAAGACTTATGTTTCCTCCTTTAAATTACAGAACTTACAACTGCAACACCAGTGACAACTGTATGTGTGAAAAATGTCTGTGTGTGGTCAGAATGGTATGATTCCACTCAGCCTGAAAACAAAGAGGACAGTGGAGATTATGAAACATATCAAAATCTCAAGGATAAAGGATACAGTGTGTGTACAAACCCAAGCGAAGTTCAATGCAGAGCCAAAGAACACCCAGATACCGAAATTACCAACCTTAACCAAACAATAGAGTGTAGTCAAAGCAGAGGATTAATATGCAATAACCAGGACCAAGAATCCAAGCAGTGCTATAATTATGAAATCAGAATATCCTGCTGCAGATACATACCATGTTCAGAAGCACAAACTACAACATCCACAACCACAAGAGAATTCACAACTACTGCTGTAGAATCAACACCATTTACAGTACAGACAACAATAATACCAACCACACAAAAACAAGAAAGTGAAGTAACTACAACACCAATGAGAGAACGAGAAAGAACGACTCCGAGCGAAACATCAGTAACATCAACGACAACCCAAGTGTCAACAACAGGATACCAAATCACAACTATGACAGCAGGAACCTCCACTGTGGTAACCCAAGCTCCATCATCACCCAATACTATCTCCACACTCCCAGGATCAACACTACAAACAACACCTGGCACCACGATAATCTCCAGTACTACTACCCTGCCAACACAAGGCACGACTATTACTACACCTGGACCAAGAGTACCAACCCAAGGTACCACCAGTGCCAGCACCACCACAACCACCAGGGAAAGGAGCACTCTATCTACAGAAGGAACTATTCCAACAGTATTATCCACTGTTGCTATCCAAACAACATCAACAATTGCTGCCTCCACCCCTGAAATAAAAATAAGAACCACAACAGGCAACACGGCTGGACCCAGCACCACAGGCTCAGCTGGAGAGGAAACCACCATCATTGCTACCACCACCAGCACCTCTCCCCCTCAGACTGAAGGTACAACTGCCATCATCCCAACAACAACAAGAGTGCCCACACCAGCCACCAGCACTGCCAGCACCTCCAGGACTACCGAGAGAAGTACCACAAGAGCCTCTGCCACCTCTGCTCCAGGAGAAACCTCCACAGTGGAAACCCAGGCTACAACACCTCTCACAACACCCTCTGAAGTTAAAATAAGAACCACAACAGGAAGCACAGTTGGCCCTATTACCACAGGCTCAGCTGGAGAGGAAACCACCAGCATTGCTACCACCACCAACACCTCTCCCCCTCAGACTGAAGGCACAACTGCCATAATCCCACCCACAACAACAGTGCAAACCCCTGCCACCAGCACTGCCAGCACCTCCAGGACCACTGCAGGAAGCACCACAAGAGCCTCTGCTACCTCTGCTCCCGGAGTAACTTCTCCTGTGGTGACCCAGACTACAGCACCTCTCACAACATCGTCCAGAGTTAAAATAAGAACCACAACAGGAAGCACAGCTGGCCCCAGCACCACGGGCTCAACTGGAGAGGAAACCACCATCATTGCTACCACCACCAGCACCACTCCCCCTCAGACTGAAGGTACAACCATCATCATCCCAACAACAACAAGAGTGCCCACGCCAGCCACCAGCACTGCCAGCACCTCCAGGACTACCGAGAGAAGTACCACAAGAGCCTCTGCCACCTCTGCTCCAGGAGAAACCTCCACAGTGGAAACCCAGGCTCCAACATCTCCCACAACACCCTCTGAAGTTAAAATAAGAACCACCACAGGCACCACAGCTGGCCCCAGCACAACCACCACCACCACCCCACCCACAACCACAGGGCCCACGCCAGCCACCACCACAATCCGCATCTCCAATAGCACAGACAACTGCATTGTGGAGCGCTGTGCCTGGACCCAGTGGTTTAATGTGGACTCCCCTACTCCAGGCAGCGAAAATGGAGATTCAGAGACATTTGAAAACATCAGAGCTGCTGGGTATGAGTTGTGTGACAAGCCACAAGACATCAAGTGCCGAGCTAAAGACTACCCTGACACAATTGTGAAAATAATGGAACAGAAATTTGACTGCAGCCTTGAAAAGGGACTTGTGTGCAGAAATAAGGACCAGACTCTCAAGTACCCCACGTGCTTTGACTACGAGGTCTCAGTGCTGTGCTGTGACCGAAAACACTGCCAGACAACAGTGCCAACCCCAGCAACCACTGTAAGCACCTCCACAACATACGTCCCAGCAGAAACCGCCACAATAGGAACACGACCTGCAGCAACACCAACTGCTGTCCCCACACTTTCGCAGCAAGTAATAACAACCACCGTAGGAACAACAAGTACCCTCTCACCACAAGGAACCACCTTCGTCTCGCCAATATACACAGAGCCAATGAAACTAAAAACCACAACAGGAAGCACAGCTGGCCCCAGCACCACGGGCTCAGCTGGAGAGGAAACAACCATCATTGCTACCACCACCAGCACCTCTCCCGCTCAGACTGAAGGTACAACCATCATCACCCCAACAACAAGAGTGCCCACGCCAGCCACAAGCACTGCCAGCACTTCCAGGACTACCGAGAGAAGTACCACAAGAGCCTCTGCCACCTCTGCTCCTGGTGAAACCTCCACTGTGGAAACCCAGGCTCCAACATCTCCCACAACACCCTCTGAAGTTAAAATAAGAACCACAACAACATCTGAAGTTAAAATAAAAACCACAACAGTAACCACCGCTGGCCCCAGCACCACGGGCTCAGCCAGAGAGGAAACAACGATCATTGCTACCACCACCAGCACCTCTCCCCCTCAGACTGAAGGTACAACCATCATCATTCCAACAACAACAAAAGTGCCCACCCCTGCGACCAGCACTGCCAGCACCTCCACAACCACCAGGGAAAGGAGCACTCTATCTACAGAAAAAACTCTTCCAACAGTATTATCCACTGTTGCTATCCAAACAACATCAACAATTGCTGCCTCCACCCCTGAAATAAAATTGAAAACCACCACTGGCACCACGGCTGTCCCCAGCACCACAGCTTCAGCTGGAGACAGCACAACTAACATCTCTACCACCACCAGCACCTCTCCCCCTCAGACTGAAGGTACAACCATCATCATCCCAACAACAACAAGAGTGCCCACACCAGCCACCAGCACTGCCGGCACCTCCAGGACTACCGAGAGAAGTACCACAAGAGCCTCTGCCACCTCTGCTCCAGGAGAAACCTCCACAGTGGAAACCCAGACTACAACACCTCTCACAACACCCTCTGAAGTTAAAATAAGAACCACAACAGGAAGCACAGCTGGCCCCATTACCACAGGCTCAGCTGGAGAGGAAACCACCAGCATTGCTACCACCACCAACACCTCTCCCCCTCAGACTGAAGGCACAACTGCCATAATCCCACCCACAACAACAGTGCCTACCCCTGCCACCAGCACTGCCAGCACCTCCTGGACCACTGCAGGAAGCATCACAAGAACCTCTGCTACCTCTGCTCCTGGAGAAACTTCCACTGTGGCGACCCAGACTACAACACCTCTCACAACATCGTCCAGAGTTAAAATAAGAACCACAACAGGAAGCACAGCTGGCCCCAGCACCACGGGCTCAACTGGAGAGGAAACCACCATCATTGCTACCACCACCAGCACCTCTCCCCCTCAGACTGAAGGTACAACCATCATCATCCCAACAACAACAAGAGTGCCCACGCCAGCCACCAGCACTGCCAGCACCTCCAGGACTACCGAGAGAAGTACCACAAGAGCCTCTGCCACCTCTGCTCCAGGAGAAACCTCCACAGTGGAAACCCAGGCTACAACATCTCCCACAACACCCTCTGAAGTTAAAATAAGAACCACAACAGGAAGCACAGCTGGCCCCAGCACCACAGGCTCAGGCAGAGAGGAAACAACCAATATTGCTACCACCACCAGCACCTCTCCCCCTCAGACTGAAGGCACAACCGCCATCATCCCACCCATAACAACAGTACCTGCCCCTGCCACCAGCACTGCCAGCACCTCCTGGACCACTGCAGGAAGCAGCACAAGAGCCTCTGCCACCTCTGCTCCAGGAGAAACCTCCACTGTGGTGACCCAGACTACAGCACCTCTCACAACATCGTCCAGAATTAAAATAAGAACCACAACAGGCACCACGGCTGGCCCCAGCACCACAGGCTCAGCTGGAGTGGAAACAACCATCATTGCTACCACCACCAGCACCTCTCCCCCTCAGACTGAAGGTACAACCATCATCATCCCAACAACAACAAGAGTGCCCACGCCAGCCACCAGCACTGCCAGCACCTCCAGGACTACCGAGAGAAGTACCACAAGAGCCTCTGCCACCTCTGCTCCAGGAGAAACCTCCACAGTGGAAACCCAGGCTACAACATCTCCCACAACACCCTCTGAAGTTAAACTAAGAACCACAACACCATCTGAAGTTAAAATAAGAACCACAACAGGAAGCACAGCTGGCCCCAGCACCACGGGCTCAACTGGAGAGGAAACCACCATCATTGCTACCACCACCAACACCTCTCCCCCTCAGACTGAAGGCACAACTGCCATCATCCCACCCAAAACAACAGTGCAAACCCCTGCCACCAGCACTGCCAGCACCTCCAGGACCACTGCAGGAAGCACCACAAGAACCTCTGCCACCTCTGCTCCAGGAGAAGCCTCCACTGTGGTGACCCAGACTACAGCACCTCTCACAACACCCTCTGAAGTTAAAATAAGAACCACAACAGGAAGCACAGCTGGCCCCAGCACCACGGGCTCAGCTGGAGAGGAAACCACCATCATTGCTACCACCACCAGCACCTCTCCCCCTCAGACTGAAGGTACAACCATCATCATCCCAACAACAACAAGAGTGCCCACGCCAGCCACCAGCACTGCCAGCACCTCCAGGACTACCGAGAGAAGTACCACAAGAGCCTCTGCCACCTCTGCTCCAGGAGAAACCTCCACAGTGGAAACCCAGGCTACAACACCTCTCACAACACCCTCTGAAGTTAAAATAAGAACCACAACAGGAAGCACAGCTGGACCCAGCACCACAGGCTCAGGCAGAGAGGAAACAACCATCATCTCTACCACCACCAGCACCTCTCCCCCTCAGACTGAAGGCACAACCGCCATCATCCTACCCACAACAACAGTGCCTACCCCTGCCACCAGCACTGCCAGCACCTCCAGGACCACTGCAGGAAGCACCACAAGAACCTCTGCTACCTCTGCTCCCGGAGTAACTTCTCCTGTGGTGACCCAGACTACAGCACCTCTCACAACATCGTCCAGAGTTAAAATAAGAACCACAACAGGAAGCACAGCTGGCCCCAGCACCACGGGCTCAACTGGAGAGGAAACCACCATCATTGCTACCACCACCAGCACCACTCCCCCTCAGACTGAAGGTACAACCATCATCATCCCAACAACAACAAGAGTGCCCACGCCAGCCACCAGCACTGCCAGCACCTCCAGGACTACCGAGAGAAGTACCACAAGAGCCTCTGCCACCTCTGCTCCAGGAGAAACCTCCACAGTGGAAACCCAGGCTACAACATCTCCCACAACACCCTCTGAAGTTAAACTAAGAACCACAACACCATCTGAAGTTAAAATAAGAACCACAACAGGAAGCACAGCTGGCCCCAGCACCACGGGCTCAACTGGAGAGGAAACCACCATCATTGCTACCACCACCAGCACCTCTCCCCCTCAGACTGAAGGTACAACCATCATCATCCCAACAACAACAAGAGTGCCCACGCCAGCCACCAGCACTGCCAGCACCTCCAGGACTACCGAGAGAAGTACCACAAGAGCCTCTGCCACCTCTGCTCCAGGAGAAACCTCCACTGTGGAAACCCAGGCTACAACACCTCTCACAACACCATCTGAAGTTAAAATAAGAACCACAACAGGAAGCACAGCTGGCCCCAGCACCACGGGCTCAGGCAGAGAGGAAACAACCATCATCTCTACCACCACCAGCACCTCTCCCCCTCAGACTGAAGGCACAACCACCATCATCCCAACAACAACAAGAGTGCCCACGCCAGCCACCAGCACTGCCAGCACCTCCAGGACTACCGAGAGAAGTACCACAAGAGCCTCTGCCACCTCTGCTCCAGGAGAAACCTCCACAGTGGAAACCCAGGCTCCAACATCTCCCACAACACCCTCTGAAGTTAAAATAAGAACCACCACAAGCACCACAGCTGGCCCCAGCACAACCACCACCACCACCCCACCCACAACCACAGGGCCCACGCCAGCCACCACCACAATCCGCATCTCCAATAGCACAGACAACTGCATTGTGGAGCGCTGTGCCTGGACCCAGTGGTTTAATGTGGACTCCCCTACTCCAGGCAGCGAAAATGGAGATTCAGAGACATTTGAAAACATCAGAGCTGCTGGGTATGAGTTGTGTGACAAGCCACAAGACATCAAGTGCCGAGCTAAAGACTACCCTGACACAATTGTGAAAACAATGGAACAGAAATTTGACTGCAGCCTTGAAAAGGGACTTGTGTGCAGAAATAAGGACCAGACTCTCAAGTACCCCATGTGCTTTGACTACGAGGTCTCAGTGCTGTGCTGTGACCGAAAACACTGCCAGACAACAGTGCCAACCCCAGCAACCACTGTAAGCACCTCCACAACATACGTCCCAGCAGAAACCGCCACAATAGGAACACGACCTGCAGCAACACCAACTGCTGTCCCCACACTTTCGCAGCAAGTAATAACAACCACCGTAGGAACAACAAGTACCCTCTCACCACAAGGAACCACCTTCGTCTCCCCAATATACACAGAGCCAATGAAACTAAAAACCACAACAGGAAGCACAGCTGGCCCCAGCACCATGGGCTCAGGCAGAGAGGAAACCACCATCATTGCTACCACCACCAGCACCTCTCCCACTCAGACTGAAGGTACAACCATCATCACCCCAACAACAAGAGTGCCTACCCCTGCCACAAGCACTGCCAGCACCTCCAGGACTACCGAGAGAAGTACCACAAGAGCCTCTGCCACCTCTGCTCCCGGTGAAACCTCCACTGTGGCAACCCAGGCTCCAACATCTCCCACAACATCCTCCGGAGTTAAAATAAGAACCACAACAGGCGCCACAGCTGGCCCCAGCACCACAGCCTCAGGTAGAGAGGAAACCACCATCGTCACTACCACCACCAGCCCTGCCTCCACTTCACCTGAAATAAGATTAATTACCACTTCTGGCCCCTCATCTGTGCTCACTACAACTCTTCCTCAGTCTGGAATTACCACAGGTAAATTCTTATAACATTCTTTTCTCCCAATGCAGAAAATACTGCTATAACAGCTTTCTTCAGCACTACTGTCAGCCCCGGTATGTCATTGTCTACTTTTTAAAATTTTACAACCATCATTTTCTTTAGACCAACATTCATATCTTTGTGTTTTGTGGCTTCTTTCCCTACACCAGTTTGTGATTATATGAATCTATGACCATTTATATTTCTTAAAACACATAAACCAGTTTTTAATCAATCTCCCTCTTTGTTACTAGTATTTATGTTTGTCAGCTTGGTTAACTTCATAGTATTAATTCTAACTTAAATGAGGAAAGTTGAAACTTTTCAAAACGTTAGAGGTAAATCTTGTCAGATTTGCCAAAGGCCAGATGTTATTCAATGTTCAATGAAAAAGTTTCCATAATCTGCACTTATGAATAGCTCAATTATTTGAATGCAGGAAACATGTGCACTTGATTTGCCAGAATGTTGAATAGACCTCTTGAAGGTGTTAAAATTATTAGATCAAAATCCTGTACCTGCAAACTAAATTATTACTTGTACTCCACTGTAGCTTCAACTGGTACATCACAATCAAGCCATGTTACAACAAGCACTCCTTCAACCTTCAGTTCTTCCACCAGCACATCCGTTACATCCAGCAAAATACCTCCATGCTTTTGTCATGTGTTTGAAACTTTATTTTCTCCTGGTAAGTATCTTATTTTATGATTATAAAAGATTTCATAGGCAATATAAACCCTTAAGACTCTATTCAATTAAAGATAACCACTCAAAGTCATCTAAACGTAGAACGTTTTATACATGAATACACTTCATATTTTCACAATATTTTCTTGGTTTTTCTCCCTATGTATTTTCATTCTTGTAATTTCTTTTCCAATTTTCATCTGCAGGGGAAGTGGTATACAACAGAACAGATAGAGCTGGCTGTAATTTTTATGCACTTTGCAGCAAGGAATGTGAGATTGAGCCCTTCTACGGGCCATGTCATCTGACAACTCCTGCTCCTTCAGTCGCCTCCTCAACTACATCACAAACTGCCTCACCAACCACAGCAACAACCACCACAATTTCAGTAGAAAGAAACTGCACTGATGTCAATCCTGCACGAAAGGTGGTTCCCCTCCCTACTTTATATTACACCACTGTTGCAAAACCAGACCAATTTCTGCCCTTTAACAGTCAATTCAAATCAACCTTTATGTATCTCAATAATAAAGTTGGTCACGTAACAAATGACCTGACAGCACACAATTATTTAACCTGGCATTACCAAACTTTTAAGTAACCTCTTGGTGGAAAAGCTCACTAAGACCATGGCAGAGATTTTTGGTTTTAATACAAGTAATTTAAATTTCATAGACATAAGTAGACAAGCCATGAAATGTAAAATACCATTCTTTTTATGCAGAAGAAAATTCTGTGGTTATTCTTAGCATACCTGTTCTTAAATAATGTACTAAAACAACTACAACCTGAATTTCCTACTAATTTTGAGAGTATATCTTAAGTTAAAACTGAACAACTAGGATAAAGGAGCATTTAAGAATAAATAATTTACATCTTTTCAGCCTGGAGAGGAGTGGATAGATGAATGCCAGAAATGTGTCTGTGATTCCCTCACTGCTACTGCACAATGCCAGCCACTCCCATGCCAAACAGCTCAGCAAACAACTTGTGACCTAGGATTTGTTTCCATGGCTGTAATACCACAAAAAGACCCATGTTGTCCTGAATTTGAATGCAGTAAGTATTAAAAATACACGTATAAATATCACTCCAGGCAATTACATTTGCACTTCTGTTAATATCTAAGTTCTTAATGTATCACAATAACAGCAAAATATTTCTTAAATTTTTCTGTCTCAGTGAACACACAACGATTTTTGGCTAAATATGCATTGAAGCTTTGTTTAAAAAAAAAAAGTGATTTTCATTTAATTTTAATAAGAGAATAGGTGGTAGAGCAGAATAGTATTTTGAACATTCACTGGTCTATGTAGCTCAACTGTCTTTGTACCTGTAATTATAAATGTTATCCATGCATTTTTTTCATCTTATTAATGGAACATTGGAGCACATTAACATTAGTCTAAATGCAACTAAACTAAGATGCATAAACACAAGAATAAGTCACCAAATAGCTTAACAGTTAACTAGAAGACCAAGTAACAGGAAGCAATAGTACAAAGTGAATTGTAATCAGCAACTGAATTGACAGTGTATGAAAAATAATAATTATACTTACACTCTTGCCAGATGCTCATGAAAATAAACTAATATAACTAGGATTTTTTTATTTATAAACATACACTTTTATATACACATATTTTATGTACATATACTTGTGCAAAAGACTTAAAAGAAAAAAGTATCCATAAATTAAGCCTGAAAAAGTAAAGTCAAAACAAAGGAACAGGCAAGTTTAAGCCGTTCTGTGAAAGACATAGATGGCTTCTGCCATGTTGTCAGATTTACATTATATAGGAATACCTTTAGTAGGAATACCTTAGCAGGAATACCTTTTTCCACAGTGTCAATCTCCCATACAAGCCATGTTCTGAAAGGTCATAAAGAATCAATAACTGAAGCATCTTTGTTTATCATGGAGGCTGAGGGTTCCCGGAGGAAACAACTAATTTAATTTGAATTGAACCAGATATTGAAAGGGCAAAAAAGGGATTTTTCAGGCATAGCTCAAGTTTGAAGCCATTCCTCTCCACCTCTTCCAGCTGATTTTAATGGTGAAACTTTACTTAAACATTCAGCTACCCTATATATGAAGCCTAAGCACATAGGGGGATTGAATTCAAGTTTTCCGTACTCTCTGTGTTACTAACAAAACCTGGTAACATCTTGACTTCTCAGGAAGACTCACAATTTGAGTTATTCTGGAATTAATTTTTTGTTTTGTTTTTTAGAACCAATACCTGATGTCTGCGTGATTAATGGAACATTGTACACGGTAAGAATGATATGGCAGTGTATTGCTGGAAGTGAAAAGTACATCCTTTCTACCAAAATAAGTCTTTGAGAAAGTTCTTTTCCCAGTACATGTTTTTGGGAGTTTTTCTCTCTAGCCTTTAATTGGAAGTTGTTTGGGTATTTAGAGTCAAAATCAAATTTGTCACAGAAGTCTTCCTCATCGAGTAGTATTAAAAGAAGATTGTACCATTTTTAGTGATGTACTTTCTTTTTAAGCTTCCTCTCACTGTAATGAATGACTTTGCCAGACAATCTGATGAATATCCCAAACTCAATTGCTCTTTGAAATAAGCCCAGAAAACCTTAAAAAACCAAAGCTAACATTTTTGATTTGTTACCCAAACCCTTTTGCTAAAATTGGTACTTAGGTCATTAACTCGTAATTTAAATATTAGCACTGGAGTCTTTGGGGATACACTTCAGAAAGACTAAAATCCATATGTAAATTTAGATCTCTACTTAGATATCTGCATATGTAAAGGCCTATTTTAGTCCCTGCTTTTAAATTATAATTGTTTTCCAACCACTGAAGATAACTGATAGAGGAAAAATATTCTTAAATGGAGCATTGAAAAGCTGGTAAAATAATTTGACATACAGACCAATCTTAATTTAATGTAATAATTTACTGCTCCCTTTTACATTGCTTCATTTAGTTTCCTCTTAATATGAGCTTTCCTGCAAGGCATGAAGCCAAAAAATCTCTGTGTTCAAAGAATTTGAGAACTGTCATACTTGCGTACCTCAATGGTTCTCAGCAATGCTTTCAACTCTGCCTTTATATTACACAGAAACTGTTGGCATTTGAATGTTTTTTGGGATTTTTTTCTGTCTTGCAGATTGGAAAGTCAGTAGTAATCAATTCATGTAAGAAGTGTACCTGCAGTTCTGAGAAGGATCCAGAGACTAATGCAAACATTATGCATTGTGAAACAGTTCAGTGTGAGACATCTTGCCCACTGGTGAGTTCTCTAGGTTCTCTAGGCTGGCCAGTCAGCTAGACTAGAATTCTCCATCACCAGTTCAACATACTTTCTCCTTCATCTCTTTCTGAGTAGGGTTACCAATACATGATTGAGGAAGGAGAGTGCTGTGGGAAGTGTATTGAAGTTGCTTGCAAAGTCAAACTCAGTAACAACACTGCTCATGTCCTCAATGTAAGTATTCTTTTCATTTTCAGATCTGTTAGCCCATACAAGTTAGAACAGCTAAGAGTCAACTCATGTCCCTTACTGGTAAAAATAAAATACTGAAATTACTTTGAAAAACAATGTATCAGCTTTCTGAGTTCAACAATATTTGGTATCAAATTCTTGATTTTTGTGGCTAATGGAGCAATGGTTTCTAATTTATGGTCTAAGTGTTCAGAGCCAGGATTTAAACTTTCAAGCTAGCTACAGTTTGTAGAATTTCATTTTTGCCAGTTGAAAGAAGTTCAGAAGCATCTGAGAATCTTTGAGGACTGAGAACTTAATTAGCTCAGACATACTTGATCACAATGAAAAAAAAACAACTTTTGCTTTTATTATATAATCTTAGGTTAATGAGATCCTGCCACTCGATCAGTGCAGCCACTACAAATGTGAAAAAATTGAAGATCAGTTTGTTGCAGTCCAAACGAAAAGAGTATGCCCTGAGCATGACCCCGCAGAGTGTGATCCTGTAAGTTTTTATCAGTCTTTCATTGACTCAATTCAGTTTAAGTGAACAAGGAGGGACAAGGAAGAATACAACAAATCACTTCCACTGAAGTTGCAGGAATGTCTCAAGAATGAAACTAGGCTTGCTCTATGATTAATAATAAGAAAAGCATAGTATTTTCTTATGAGGCTACAAGTATTGAAGACTCCTGTGGTGAGGGCAGTAAGTCATCCTTTTTTTCATTCAGGGTTCATCCCAGAGAAGCCTTCTGCCCAGTATCAGTAGTGCTAACTAATATACTTATTCATGATTGTCAACCATGTACTAATACAAATCCTGCTTCTTTTACAAAGGACGAAGCAGAGATTACATCTGATGGCTGCTGCAAAATATGTAAACGTAAGTAATGCTGTGTTTATGTGTTCTGCCTGAAGAGCATTCTGTTCAATCTGTAACTATCTTTGAGTGGATGGAAAGAGTCTTCACTCACCCTGTTTTGACATAGTCTATTTAAGAAGATCCTGTGTTTCACTGTTTATTCAAAAGAAAAACGCAGTTTTTTTCCTGATACTGAATATCACAAGTCAAACCAGCAAATACTCAAGTCTCTGCATTGTCTTCCAAAGGCACTTTACAGCTGAAATCAAAGAATAATCTGACAACTCCATATACATTACACAGTACCCATCCCATCACATACTGCAGATTCTCTGTAATCAGACATCAAGCACTTTGAAACTGGTTTACAATTCCTTTAGTTCAGAACTAGAGAACTGAAGTATATTTTCTCTCTTCCCCCCTTTTTATGAAGCTAAAAGCTGCAAGCCTTACACCAAGGAAACAGTGATCCGCCATGCTGACTGTGAGTCTTCTGGACCTGTTCAGGTCTCATATTGTGAAGGAAGTTGTCCTGGCTCCTCAATGTAAGTTCTAAAAATTCATTTAATATCTCTGTGGCTTCCTTTATCTGGTCTGTCAAGTTAATTTATCACTCAAGGGTACTGAAGGAGCTGGAAAAAGTGCTCACAAAGCTACTTTCAATAATTTGTCAACAGTCTAGTTAACTATGGAGATCCCAGTTGGCTGCAGGCCAGCAAATGAGATGTTCATCTACAGTAAAGTTTGGAGAGAGGATCCAGGGAAGTACAGGCCTGTCAGCCTGACCTTGGTGCCAGGGAGCAGATTATCTTGAGTGTGATCATGGAATACATACAGGGTAATGAGGGGATCAGGCCCAGCCAGGATGGGTTTGGGAAAGGCAGCTGCTGCTTGACCAACCTGATCTCCTAGGACAGGGTGACCCACTTAGGGGATGAGGAAAAGGCTGTGGATATTGTCTACCCAGACTTGTATAAAGTTTTTTACAGCACTTCCCACAGCATTCTCCTGGAGAAGCTGGGAGCTCATAGCTTGGACAGGTGAACTGTTCACTGCATAAAAAATTGTTCATGGCCTGGATGGCCAGGTCCAGAGGGTGATGTTGAGTGCAGTTACCTGCAGCTGGGGGATGGTCACCAGTGGTGGTTCCTGGGGCTCAGTGTTGCAGCCAGTCCTGTTGTATATCTTTATCAATAATTGTGTGAGGTTCAATAAGGTTTAGTGCTGTGTCCTGCCCTTGGGCCACAACCACCCCAGACAGCTGGGGCAGAGGGGCTGGGAAGCTGCCCAGTGGAAAAGGACCTGGGGATGTTGGTGACAGCAGCTGGACATGAGCCAGTGTGTGCCCAGGTGGCCAAGACAACCAAGAACATCCTGGCCTGGATCAGCAACAGTATGGCCAGCAGGACCAGGACAATGTACTCGGCCATAGTGAGGCCACACCTCGAGTCCTGTGTCCAGTTCTGGGCCTCTCACTGAAAGACAGACATTGAGGTTCTGAAGCATGTCCAGAGAAGGGCAAAAGAGCTGGGGAAGGGTCTGGAGCCCAAGTCTTGAGGAGCAGCTGAGGGAGTTGGAGGTGTTTAACCTGGAGAACAGGAGGCTCAGGGGAAATGTTCACACTCTCTACAACAGCCTGAAAGGAGGATGTAGTGAGGTGGGGGTTGATCTCTTCTCCCAGGTAACAAGTGAAAGGATGAGAGGAAATGGCTTCAAGTTGCACCAGGAAGGGTTTAGATTGGATATTAGGAAATATTTCTTCACTGAAATGGTTGTCAAGCACTGGAACAAGTTGCTGAGGGAAGCAGTTCAGTCATCATCCCTTCAAGTATTTAAAAGACATTCAGGTGTGGCACTTAGAGACACAGTTTGGTGGTGGACAGGTAGTGCTGGGATAATGCTTAGACTCGATGATCTGAAAGGTCTGTTCCAACCTGATTCTGTGATTGCAGAACAGCAACAAAGTTAATGTATTTATATGATTCCACTGAATTGAATTGGATTCAATGTAAGCAAGAATAGTTTGACTATATTGAAGACAACGAAAATCACTTTCATAAGTGTGCATGACAAGGAGGAAAAGAGGATAAAAAAAAAAAACCAAAGCCAAGCCAAACACTCACAAAAAACACTGAGGGGTTTTTTCTTAAAAACACTGTGTGTTTTTAACCAGATGCATTTTTTCCCCTGGCGGAACACAGGTACTCTCTTGAAGCAAACCAGATGGAACACAAGTGTGGTTGCTGCCAGGAACTCAGCACTCAAACAAGAGATGTGACCCTGACTTGCCAAAATGGAACCAGCATAAATTATACCTATCTCTATGTGGAAAACTGCCAGTGTGTGAATGGTTGCTCTTCAGAAACCACTGCAGCATCTGACTCCCAATTCCAACAATCTAGAAAATATGACTCCCAATTGCAGCAGGCTGTATCACTTGGTTCCCAATGGCAACTCAGCTGAGGATATGATCACTGGCAAAAGAAAGCAGAGACCCTAGAGAAGCTGGAATCATGTCTTCCCGAAAATAAATTGTGCTCCTTCTTTAACATTCCTTTTTCATGACTTACTTGTAAAAATAATTAAAAAAAAGGTCAATTAAATTGCAGTGTTTGGTTGGTTTTTTTTTTTAATGCTACATATTGAAGAGTAAAAACAGATGACTGCAAAATCTGTAATACCTCATGTAACTTACAGAAATATGCAAGCACATGCTTTATCACAAAACCTATATTGGAGATAAAAAAGAATTAAGGAGCCTCTAAAAAATAAAGCAAGAAAACATTGCAGCTACATTGCACTTCTTGATCCTAGTGAAAGCATTACTGCATATTCTTTTTATAGACATAATAGTCCTAACACATCTCAAAAACAGGGACAAAGCTGTTTTATTTGATCACTAAAACTTTCAGTACTTTTCAGTTATTGTGACTGTTCAATACCCATCTTCTTTACCTAAATGACAGCGAGTCCAAGGAATGGCATCAGGAAGTTTTCTGACTCAGAGGGGTATATTCTCGACCAGTCTTTGGGAATACAGCCCTCTTCCTGAACTAGGTAAAATTCCTTCACCTATGTCCAAATAGCTCTTCCCACTGCCATAAAAGATGAAAAAATTTGCTCCTCTTATCTGCTCACTTCCACCTCCTCTAGTTTGTTCTTCATGCTGCATGTACTGTATCTATTGCAAATGTGCTCCAGCATACTCACACATCACAAAGCAGTGTGGAGGATCTTGCTACCATTCCATCGGTCTAACACTGCTGGGTGGCCACCAGGCTTATGTCCAGCAAGCCTGGGTTTAGCCCTTTTCCCCTTCAATCCACTTTAATGCTCTTTCAACGAGCACTGCACCCTCCTGCAAAGATCTTCTCTCTGTCTGAGACAGGTGTACCCAGCTGTTGCCACCAAGTATCGATCTGCTGGTTCTTGTTTCTTCCCTCACCATTCCCTGCAACTGGAAGGGTAAAGAAGAACACTACTCATGCTCCTGATCCCATAGTAACCAGGCGTCCCAAGGCCCCAAAACCTCTTCTGATCGTCCTTGGCCTTCATATTGCAAACTTCATAATTGCCTACATGAGAAAGCAATAATGGGTAATAATCCAAGGGCTGTACCAGAGCTGAAAGTTTCCTCATCTCCTCTGTAACCCAGCCCCCAGGGAAGCAGATGACTTCCCTATGAAGTGGGGCTTGCCAGGAAATTCCACCTTCTGTTCCCCTCACTGGGTTTCCTGTGCCAACACCTCATCTTTCTTTCTTTCTGGAAGCAGTTTCAGCATGGTGCATAAGGGAACTTCACCTTAGTGAGTCTTCCTACAGAGATGAACCATCATCCTCATCATTTGATTTCCCCTTGCAGAGCCTTGTATGTATTAAACATGGGCACCTGGGAAAGTGGGGTAGTCACAGAGGAATATCCTGGCCATACCAGGCAGGAATTTGTAACCATTACCCCCTTTTATAACTACTTAAAGAATAATTTTAAAAAAAGCTTTAAGCATTTTAAATCAACTTAATACTCCACATTAAACTGATGACTATTACAGAGGTAACAAATTTAAACCAGAAAAACATTGTCCTGTGAGTGTTAAGTGCCTGGTAATCCATAGAGAAACATGGACCGCAGAGACATGGAAAGTGTAATTCACTGGAGTTATTTTATAATTGGAGATAATTTTAAATAAATTTAATTATCCTTCATTCTCTTTCAATGGTAAATACATTAAACTTATAAAAATCCTCTGTTTTTTGTACACTGAAATGTTTTAAAACATGTTCTAAGTGAACTCTTTGAATACTTCAAACAGTAGTACTTTTATAATTCTCTCATCCATGGAAACACATATGTAGCTCAGATAATTTTCAATCTACTTGCTTTCCACAAATTCACTTTTCTCATCTATATGCAAATTTTCCTTCAAAAGTTATGGTATAACCCAAGTATATCTTACAAAATTAATTATGCTTTTTGGCAAGATAGTAAAGAAAATACTTCTAAAATATACTGCTGCATTAAAATAGATCAGCTTGGGTTTCTGACTAAGCTTCCTGAGGATCTAGAAGAGAAAGCTCAAGTCTTCAGTAGGCTACAACTCAAAACTGCAGAGAAGATTGCTAATATGGATTTTCAATTTTCCTTCTTATTCTAAGAAAACACATATTTGCATTTCTCCTAGAGGCCTTGCTCACACTGATGTTCTGAAATGTTTTAATAATTCAAAATATACTGATTTCTCTTTATACCCCCACACATCATCACTGATTAACACTGAAATGAAAAAGCTAACAAAAATACAAAATGCTAAATAGATGCTTCAGCTGCCACAAGAACGCCAACATACGTTTAAAGTAAACTAATTTTCACTCTTCCTAGCTCTCACAGCAAAATGGAGAAATGTGAAAGCCAACTGTAACCTCTGAAGATAAATTGGGATAGAAAGTGATACTCAAGGGTTAGAAAAAAGCACAATTTAACATCGTTTTATTTCATAGTAGGTACTCAATACTTTAAGGAAAAAAAGAAAAATCAGCTGTGAAAGATTCCTCTAAACTATCATTTGTTAAAAAAACCAAAACTCTTGATTAGGAGAAAAAGCACACTATGAATGGACAGTAAATCCCAAAATATTAGCTTGATAATACAGTAATACTTCAAACTAGCAGTTGCTTAATAATCACAATCATCACTGCGCATGGTGATGCTGTTAAGTGAGAGAGGGCCCCAGATACCTTTGTCACCACAGTACTAGAAAGAGATGCTATGCAAACCAAATCTTTCAAATTCATTTATCATATATTAGCAGATAAAGCCAGCTCTTTTTGTAGCTGGAATAGCACACATGGTCCATTTCATAACTCTCCATTTGGACACCACTCCCATCCAGAGTCCTCAATCCTTCACACTGCAGCATTCCCTCCATACCCACATGCCGTTCTTCCCTCCTCCCCTGCTCTCCAATGCTGCCCTTCAAACATTGCAGCATCACTACTGCCTTCTTCTGTCCTCCAGACCTGCAACATCAGCACATTTCCTTGAGAAAGCAGCCCCTAGAAGACTCAGAAAGAGGCACCTACCTGAAGAAGAATTCTCAAAGTACTTTTGAGCATTTACTGTTACTGTTCCCACCAGATGGTCTCATTAAGAAGCAATGTAGTTTGCCAACCAATGTTCAACACTGAATAGAAGACAGTAACCAATACTTGAATTTTAGATCAGTCAAAGACTCACACTCTGGTGCTCTCCAACAGAGACATAATACACTTTCATTCAGATGGTACATTTATTAAATTAGAATGAAAAAGTTAATGTACTTTAGAGTGCAAGAAACATATTTGGACACTGGACCTCAATACAGAGAAACAATGTCTTCAGAATAATTACAGCAACACAACATCCTCTGTAGGGTATTACATATCAACCAAACAGGCAATAACGTTTATAAGGGGAGAATAAACCCATTCAGTACCATCAGCATATGCAAAGAGCAGTAGAGAAGTTGCAAGGATCTAGCTAGACAAAAAATGTTCCTACCTTTAGCAAGCTGAGGCTCTTGGCAGGACTCAAACTATACTGAGAGCACTAACTTTGAGCAGATGCCTGTCTTACACAGCTGGCTTTAGCTCCAAGCTGCTGGAAGCTGCTGAGCAGAGGAGCAGCATCAAACACAGTATTACCCCATTAGCATTTTCTCAAAAGCTACAATCATGACTGACAATTTGTTTGTTTTAAATAGAAAACCAGACTTTCAGTTCCAATACCTTAATTTCACAGACCCTAAAATGAGTAAACACCTCCTGTCTTTTTTCATCTCTCTCCAATTCAAACCTAACAACAGTTTAACTGGAAGGATATGTAAGCTGAAAAGCTGAGTAGGCTGATCACTTTGTTCTTTTTAACAAGAGAAAGTAGTACATATTGATGTAAGAGTTTAATCTCTAATGCTTAATTAAATAAAGACAGAAAGATGCACAGAACAATATTTAACTATACTGTAAGATAATGAAATCCATCTACTGGCCATACTGCTCCTACACATCCTATTTTCAACTCATATTTGTACCCTGTTTTGCATACCATTTGCCTAGGAAAAAAAATACACACTAAAAATATATCTAAGAACAGGAGTCTCCCTCAGAAGGCCAGAGTCAGTTTATGAATAAACCTGGCTAGCTTAACTTTTGCACTTACCCCTCCTGGCAGTTAGGACTGAAAGGTGGTTTTGTTCTGCGCTTGAAATGGAGCTGTAATTAGGATGCAGTACAATTTACCAGCCATTAAGTTGAACCATGACCACTTGCTTTTATGAAAAGCTGTATTATGAATCCCACCGTTTTAATATAAAAATTTAAATATGTACATTTTCCCTGAATTGTTCTGTCCCTAGCAATTCATGCTATCTATGTAAAAGTTAAGAGCACAGGACTCTTCCTGGAGGTATCTAAGCATTAAATCCCTACCAACATTCATCCTTTTGGGTCATGATGTCACAAAACACTCTGCTTTTATAAAGACCAAATGCCTCTACACCTAATCAATCACAAAAATTACAATGATTGCAGGGAAGGGGCAAGACTAGTTTCTTGAAGAATACCCATTTAACTTCAGAAAACAAAAGCGTGGCAATTCTACAACTACAGCACACAAAACTATAGCCTTGAATTTCATTATTCAAATTCCAGTTGGAGGATGTTCAAAGACACTTATGCTTTCAATGGGAAATTTAAGATGTTAAGGGATTCATAACAAAACTTAAAACTGTACATTATGAAAAGACAGCTTTAAAAGGTCAGAAACTGGGATGATTTTTGGTGCTGTATTTTAAAAGTTTCAGTATTACTTTTAATGATTAAAAAAAAAAATATTCATGCTCTACTGCCAGTGCTACCTAAAGGCTACTTGAATGTAGGTTGCGGGAGGATAAAATCAGCTTTCCATCAGATAATAAAGAAAATATTTTAGGCATAGGACATAAAATAAAGTGTGGGGAAGAAGAGAAT